ACAAGCACACGGTAGGAAGGTCGTGTACAGCACAAGCACAAGCACAAGCACACGGTAGGGGGGTCGTGCACAGCACAAGCATAAGCATAAGCACACGGTAAGGAGGTCGTGGACAGCACAAACATAAGCACAAGCACACGGTAGGGGGGTCGTGCAGAGCACAAGCATAAGCACAAGCACACGATAGGGAGGTCGTGCACAGCAAAAGCACAAGCAAAAGCACAAGCACAAGAGAGGAAGGTCATGCAGAGCACAAGCATAAGCACAAACACACGATAGGGAGGTCGTGCACAGCACAAGCACAAGCACAAGCACACGGCAGGGAGCTCGTGCAGAGCGCCAGCATAAGCTAAAACACACGGTAGTCATGGGAACGCCCATAGCATAAGCACATGGTGGTGAAGACGTCCACAGCACAAGGACAACCAGAACAGAAGTTTTTGTTCTTCTTGTGCTTATGCATATCTCAAGTGAGAACTCCTTGCTTTAAACATAGCATAAGGAGGAGGTATGGAACCGAAAATAAGGCAACTGTCCATTCTGCGCATGCCTACCTGCTAATGCTTGTTTCGTGGGCTTCTTCACTACCGCTATGCTTCTGCTTGTGTTTGTGCTGATGTCGTAAGTGAAAACAAGGCTTTATGAACGAGCCTCTTCAAGAATTCTGAGTCCGAGTCGTATATGTTAAAGTTGGCATTAATTTTCTGAAGCCACAGGTAACCTAATTTAGCGTACCAAAATGTGGATCTTAAATTTGGTCATAAATTGCAAATAAAGTGAAGAAAACTGTTAAAAACTTCACCTGTTGTCAAGCGTTGTCTTTTTCTGTGTTATAATCGTTTTTGGTAGGCTCCCGAGCCCGTTTTAAGCGGGTTTCTTCCCCACGGTCAGGGCGCTTGTATGTAGAGCGGTGAAACGAGCGGGTCCGACCAAAGAGGTTTGATGCAGTAGACTGGGGTCTACTAAAACGAGCAGATTCCGCTTACTTACACTGGAACTTAGATTTCTAAAGAAATTCCACGAAACTCCCTTTTATTTGAAGCAGCAACGTTTTTGGTGCATTTTTGTTCTTTGGCAATGGGAAAAGTTTATTTTTTTAGGTTGAAAACAGGCCTTCATATTACCCGCTGTAAGATCTGCTCGCGCTAGTTGTACGCGTGATCTTTTGCATCTCTTCTGACTTACGAATAAAGGTTATGCAAGAAAACTCTCTATTCTGGTACTGTATCGAGTTAATTTGTGCGGTTCTCAGAACATTGCTTAATCATAACCAAAATCTGTTCTCGATAGGTTTCTTATAATTTTTTTCTGCTTGTTTGGAGAGCAGGAAAGCCTGACGCTTACAAGTAGCTAATTTGCATAATGCAGCGCTTGCACATTCAAGTCCGAGTCAGTGTTTTCAATTTGCCAATATAAAATCTTGACAAAGTGTTTTTTCGCCATCTTTTGTGCTGAGATGATGCTACAATTTTTGCCAAAAGGATACTAAGATCTTGTGTGTTCTTTGGATTTTTATGATGCGAAAATGAAATAGACAAGGAGTTTTGAGAACTCAAACAACAAAATCGAAATTGTTATTCGGGTTGATTGAAGAAAGCGCTACAGTAACGTTGCTGATTTAATATCTCTGCTGTCTTTCCATATTTCCAGCTAAACTTCTAATACGATTCTCAAATATTTATCAAATCATTTTTAAACATAATTAAAGCTAGAGATATTGTTTGAGCTCGATGTACGTTCTTACACGAAAGAGCGTAATTGAAGTTCAATTTGCCATGTTTAGCCACAGGTAACCCAAGCGTAACATAAAAGTTTGTATCTAGAACTGTGGCTAAAATATAAGAGTTTGTATGGAGATTAGAAGATGACATTGAAATCAATCAATTTATGGGTAATTTACCGAATAAACACTCTTGATCATTCAACGGTGTCATTTTGTCTCATCCTGGAGAGTTTAAACGAGATTTGAGCGAAAGTTGAAAAATATGTCCTACGATGTTATGATAAGAGACAAGGTAGGAAACTTCGGCCAGTTTGACGACAAAACACTCTTCGGAAACGAGTCAAATTTGCACACAAAAAGAGCATTCACTCGTAATATTTCTCGCTGAACTCACAATATAAGGCCTGTAGTTTCTCCCTGTGCAATCCAATGAATCACACATTCAGGTTTCACCGTGTTAGCGGGCCAAAAAGTTGAAATATGACGGCCAAAATAGCGGAAATTGACGCGTGACCACGCTTGCGCACGCGCAAGGAAACATTTTGAACTTAAGTTACGCGTACGTTAGTTGCGCTTACGAATTTAAGTTACGTGGACGTTTATCAGCGGAGTTTTAGA